TTATTATTATTATTATTATTATTATTATTATTATTATTATTATTATTAAATTTTCTATATATATACGTATATAAGAATATACTAAGTATTTAGAATTTAGAATAATTTAGAATACTGTAGAGGATATACTAATTTAAAATATTTATTATACTTCTGTAGAGAATATACTAATTTGTGCTTTTGGTATTAATATACTAATTTTACTATACTTATATATTAATACAATATGCTATACAAAATATATTATCCAACTTTTACGACTCGAAAGAAAAACGTAAAAAAGAAGAAAACAAATTTACAATTTGTTTTCCTTTTTCCTCCAATAAAATGAATTATTAATTTCACAAAATTCTTAAAATTTTCAAAGGAGAAAAAAACGATTTTTAATTGTTTAATAACAATTAAAAATTTTATCAAGTAAGAATGTAAAATTGATTGGATTATTTATGGTTGAAATCTTTTTACTATTAAAAAAAATTTCAAAGTTACTGCTGGGAAAATTTCCGGAATTATTGCTAGGATTTAGTCCGGAAAACAGTATGAATTGAGTTGGAAGAATATAAGAAGGATGAAATTTGATAATGAGGCATAACAGCGGAATTTATGTTTATGTAATTTAAAACAGTGCATAAATATATGGCTATGTGTGTATATATATATATATATATATATGTGCATGTGGGTATGTGTGTGTTTATGTATGTGTTCATATAGGTATGCGTGTATATGTTTGTGTGTGTGTGCGTGTGTGTGTGTGTGTGTGCGTGTGTGTGTGTCTGTGTGTGGATGTAGGTGTGTGTTTTGCATCTCATTATCTGTAACTGTAAACGATAATCAGAGGAAATCAAAATATTTAGCTGATTATGAAGGAACGAATTGCTCATTAATTTCTTCTTACAATCATTTACAAACGCTTACGAACAATAACACACACACGCACACACATACACACACACACACACACACATACACACACATACACATCGTACACACAAACGAATATACAAACACAAAAACACAAACCCATACACGTACACAAATACGTGAAACGTGTGTACACACACAGCCATAAGCATACACACATACACACACACATACACACACACATACACACACACACATACACCATACACATATATGTATACATACACACAAACATACACTCACACATGTACACAAACACGTGAAACACGTACACACACACACAGACCCATAAACACACACATGTACACAACATACACAAAAACTAACACATACACATACACACACAGCATATAAACTGTATGAAGGTCACGTTTACTGTTTGTGCTCAATTATCAGCCTTCTTCCGCATTCTTCCACTTCGTTCTCTTTCCGGTTTCTTTCTCACCTATTTCCGTAATGAATTTATTATCCCTGTCACATAGTCGATAACATTTGTCATATTTTAAACTCATTATTAATAAATCAAATGGATTTACATTTAATGTTTCATTCTAATTATGACCAAAATTAAACTTTATTATTTTGAAAATTTTATAAAAATTTCATAATATTAGTAAATTTTAGAGAATTTATCAGAAAAGAGAAATTTGTGTGAAAAAAAAATGTTCATTTATAATTTTTGTTTTAACAAATTTATTTTTGCATAAAGAAGAATGAGTTTAATGTTCAATCTTTTTAAAACAAAGGGAGAAAAATCGATAAATTAATTAAGAATATTTTCATATTTATCCAATTTTACCATTTAAAAAGAAAATTTTAAAAAGGAAAGGACAAAAAATGGAAGAAAAAGGGAATGGATTTAATTTTATGACGAAAATTTAAAAAAAAAAAGAATGTTAAGAAAAAAGACAAAATAAAAATTTTGAATGGAATTTTCGTTGCTATAATTTTCGAAATGAAAAATCTTCCTCAATGTTAACAAAACTAAATATTTAGATTTAAAATAAAAATATTTTCATTTCAAGTAAAAAGAGTAAAGGGAATATTGCCATAATTGAAATAATAAATCTTGGAACAAAAAAATTAATTTAAATTACAAATTTTAATTTATTATTAGTTAACCTTTGACATAATCTTCCTGATGCATTTAATGAATGAAGAAATTTATGTTAAGTGATGAATGTTTAATGATAAATATGATAAGAAATGCTTTTAATTTCGAAATAAAGTAAAGGAAATTAAAAACCGAAAATCGATAATCATAAACAATTAATTTTATGTGTTTTTATTTCTTGCTTTAGACGAAGAAATGATTATTTCTAGTGATATGAATGTGTCAAATCTGTTCTTATCATTTTTATCTTGCAAATAAAAAAAAAAAACTTAAACTTGATTTTGTTTTATGCAACAATGTGAATGAAACAGAAATTAAATTTATTGAATTCTTATAATTTAATGTTTAAAGTTTATCCTCAATTTATAATTTGCAAATTTCAGAATAATCTTTGTTATCTGCCAAGATGATAATTCAATATATTAATTCAAGCTTTTACATTTACTGTTTTCTAATTTATCAATTCAATTTTGCTAATTGAATTCAATTACCAATGCACTAATTTAACTTGATGACTTTTTTTTAACTTGCCAATTAACAGGTAGTAAAATTATTTGCTAATTTAGTTAATCAAAAATTACATAGTTTGTTTTCATTAATCTGTTTACAAATTTCTAATCGATTATTTCATAAATTTTTACAAAAATACTTCAAAAGAAAAGTGCTTTAACAAAAGTTAAGAAAAAAATAAAGAAAATTGAAAATGAAATTAAAATTTTTGTGAGTTAGGGAGGGTGAAAGAGAGAGAGAGGGAGAAAGAAAAGAGAGGGAGAGAGAAAAAAGAAGAAAAAAAAAGTGTTAACTCACTTGATGATAAGGGTATGATGACAAATTTGGCGGAAAAATGACTGATTGATTGAATATTATCAATATGCCTGATACGAAATTGTACTAGTATAGCTGATGTGTCACTTTTAATGGTACATATTTTGTTCGTACAACTGCAATTAATTAATTAAATATCAAAATTTCATGAATTTAATAAATTGAATTCGAAAAATAAAATTAGACATAATTGATAAAATAAACAATGATTACATTGGTAAACATTTATTTTTTACTTTTGGCTTTTCATTTTTTCTCGGCAATATCTATTTTTTTATTTATTTTTTTTTAATTTCATTAAATTCCTATTTATCTATTATTTTAATTTTCTCATTATAAATTCATTTTTAAATGGAAAGAAATTATTACGGATATTTTTTTCCCCATTTTCAATTAAAAATTACAATTACTTTTTGACCTAATATATCTTTTTTTTTAGTTAAAATTATTAACATAATGTAAAGGATATGAAATACGAATATATTCTGCTTTTCAATTGGAAATTACGATAAATACTTTTCCATCAAATATATATCTTTTTCAGTTGATCAAAATTATCAATACAACGAAAATAATATCAAATATTCTATTCTTCTTTTCATTTCATTTTGATCAATGCATTAATAATTATCAATAATCAATAATTAATTAATATTTCTTTGCTCATTAATTTCTCAACATTTATTTTCATTAACAGATTATTAATTTGATAAAAATTGGAAAGAATTGCGAATGATTAATCAATTTCATTTCTTGAATATGACAAGCTTCTTTCCATAACAATTATAATTGGCTTGTCAAATATCATTCGTTACTTTTTTTTTTGTTATTTTTTTTCTCATTTAATTTACTTATAAATTTATAATTAAAACAATGATAAAACTGTTATTAAATTTAAATCTAAAAATATAAATTTCTCTAAAATAAAATGAAAAAATTCATTAATCTTTTGAAAATTAATTAATGAAATTTCTCTCGAATGAAATAAAGCAGAAGAAAATTAAAATAAATCATCTTATACTTCTATTTGGTAGGAAACAGTTGACATTTTTTTGGAAAAATTTTTATAAATTGGAAAATAAAATAACTTCCACTAAATTTCATCAAAAAAGAAACAAATTTTTTGAAAAAATTTAACTCAAAATTGTTTTTTCGTTTTGAAAAAGAAAATTAAATTAAATTTATTTCTAATATGAATGGGAAATTTTCTTTTTTGCTTTTTGCGCTTTTTTTTGCACTTCAAAAAATGCCTTTTTTTCCCAAAAGAAAAAAAAGATCTTGGGGAAATAAAATATTTGATTAGAAATATTTGCTTGAAAGGAGACATTTAAAGAAATTGATTTCAAAAAAAAAAAAAAAGAAAAAAAAAGAAATCCCCAGATACTACAAATTTGGATGGGAATTATAATTTAAGACTCTTTTGGGATCTGTGAGTAGAATATGAATAAGCTAAATGTCAACCAAGAAATGAATTGCTAGTAAACTTTATGACAAATATTTCAACATTCATAAACATTTTGATAAACGAATAGTATAATTTTTTTTTTTAAATTCGTTTTTGAGATTAAATTTTAATCCAAAATAATCTAATTATTTGAAAATTTCATTGAAATGAAATTTTGTTTATGCAAAGAATTGATTAATTTATTATTACTTCGTTTTCTTTTTTTTTTTTTTTGCGTTGGTTATGTGTAATTGAAAATTGAAAATAACGAATTAATTATTTTCGTTAAAAAATATAATTAAACATTCAGCAGGAAACGATGAAAATGACGTGTGATTTAGTTACGACAAAATAAGAATATCAATAATTATAGTGCAAATAAGGTGCAAGTCATTTTAATTTCTTTTTTTTCACCTTCAAATCAGTTGTAATAATTTTTACAAAATAACTTTTGAATTGCAATTTTAAGACATATTAAATAGTTCAAACATATTAAAGACATAGATATATATGCATACTTTTTTTTCTGTTCAGACATATATATTCAGACATTATTAAATAGTTTAAATAGTTTTTTATTTTTTTTTGAGAAAAATATTAAATTACACTGATGATATTATAATTTAATTTTTAATTTAAAAAAAATTATTTGAAAAAAGAATAAAAATTCAATTGAATAGAAGTATCAATGAATGAAAACAAAATTTTCCTTTAGCAAATTCTTGATTATATTATGAAGATTACAGACTTAAATTGAATAATTAATATTATTTAGTATATTATGGATTATTAAGTATTAAGTGTATTCAAAATTATATATACCAAATATTAGATGTAACGATAATGTTAATTGTATATTATGTATATAGTGGATAAATTAAAATTATTGCATATTGCTATCATTAGATATTTAAACAGGCTAATAATAAGTAATTTTGAAAGAAATTATAGTGAATAATCGCTATAATTGATAATTAATTATAATAAATGATAAATAATCATGAAATCAGATAAGTGATAGCCAATTCATAAACTTTTTCAAACAACAACTGATTAAGGAAATGAATAAGGAAATATATTTAATCGTAAATTTAAAAGTTAAAATTATAAAGGAAAATATTTCTTTTTAACTTTTATCAATCTTCTGAATTTATAATTTGATAATGAATTTGAAAGAATTTCATTTTCGATCGAATTATTAATTACAAGAGAAAAAAAAAATTTGTTTTTTGTAATGAAATCATTTGTGAAATAATTGTTTCCTTTGAGTAATTAACCTTTCTTCCTTCATTCTTGATTATTGATTTAAATTATTCCTAGTATTTCGCATTAAAAATTAAATTAAATAGCCAATCGATCAACCAATCAATCAGTACCAATCAAGCAATCAATCAATCAATCCATGAAGTATATGCAATCATTAATCATTTAAATCAATTATTTATGATTAATACCACTATATCATTGCGATAACTCGAAAACTACTGGGATATCGTAATTGTAATTGACTTATACAACTTCCAGTTTAAATTTCGAGAAAAAATTTCTGGAAAAAAGGAAAATTTTCAGGAAAAAATTTTCAATTTTTTGGAAAATTTTCGAAAAAAATTTCAATATACACGGATATTACCAAATCAAAAAAAAATTTTCGAAATTTTCAGTTTTCAAAAATTCAATTTTCAATTAGATCATTTCATATATGATCTCTGTTGCATTAATTATTAAGCAATATTAAGTGATATTTTTGCATTAATTATTAAGTAGAAACAAATATTTTTGCATATTTTCTTCCTTTAATTAAGCTGATTAGTTATATACACGTGGATATTATTAAATCAAAGTTTAATATTATTAAATCAAAGTTTTTTTTCTTTTTTTTAGCTAGCCATTCTTGCTAGACATATTTATTTACCTGAAAAAAATTTCCTTTAATTTACTATACTATAAAATTTTATATTTGATACTTTGCTTTCTCCAGTTTTGTTTTTTTTTATCATAATTTCATATA